GGGCCTCTTTTTTTGAGGACCCCTTTTTTTTGTGGCTGCAGGAAACCACTCGTTGTCAGGGTCCAACTAGGGGACTACCCGCTTTTTTGCATGGTGTGAGAAGTAAGCTGAAGTACACCTACCACCTAGAGAGATCATTCAAGACGCATCCGTTTAGGTCACGATAAGGTGTCCATTTTTTCCCAGAAGGACCATCCAATGTGCAGTGGACAGAACAAGCAGGTGAAGCTTCGCTGCCCTGCTGGGTACAAAGTTGCACCAGATTGCAAGCTCATCAACACACACGTTTGTTGCGGAACTTGGGTGTTGGGGGTGATCCTCTGCATCCTCGCAAACTTCGCCAGCATCCCCGACATTCCCTGCATCACCGGCATCTGGGCGTTCCAGCATCCCTTACATCCCTCTCAAACCCTTCAAAAATGGCCCCCTGAGAGTAGGTTTTGGCGGTAGGCGGACATGGTGGGCAAGTCTGCGGTCGAGTGAGCGGTCTTTTTGGCGCAAGTTTTTTCTTCATGTTTCCACCGGTTTCTGTGCTGCGGGGATGCATTTTTTGGTCTGATTGGCTTTCGGTGTGAGACACGTGCCGCGCGCGCGCGCGCCGGACGCAAGCGCCGGACACAAGCAGGCACACATGGGCTCAAGCTAGGGTGGGTGAGTGCATGCTCAGCGTCAGGGGGGTTGGGCAAGCAACCTTGCAGCCTCTTGTGCGTGTGGGTTCGCAGCGAGCGCGTGCTTGGGTGGTCCGGAGGCCAGGCCGGCCAGCGCAGCTGGTGATGGAAAAGCCCTAGGATACACAACCAATTTAGTGCTTTCGGGGCATCCCACTTGGCCAGTTCATTCCGACCTGTTGTGCTTCACTATTCTTGTTTGCGCATGGGAAGCTACAGGGCTTTTGTGCCCTTTGCACTTTTCAGGTGTTGAAGGTGTCCAGAGTTTTCCAAAAACAACAATGCCGCGAAAAACGCCTGTGTGTATGGGCCGCATGGGCCATAACACGGTCCAGGCTTTGGCCCCACAAAGCTCAAGAGTTGTGTCGTCAAATTCCTTGCAAACTCCGTGCCCTCTGTGTCAAAATTAGGCGTTCTTGGGGCAAAGCGTGACACCAGTCATTACCAAAGATGCAGAAGAAGGAGGAGCGCTGCAAAATCCGCCAATAGACTGGCGCCAAGCAACTGGCGCAAAACTCCATACCCTCCGAAATAAAAGGAATACGCGGGAGGGGGGGGTGTCCGCTGGAATTGTCAATCTTGCGATTACACTTCTCTCGAAGAACAAGAACCATGCTTTACGGATGTATATCGGGTATGCAGCCCCGAAACACACAACAATTCAGACGTTTCACAGCTGCATGACAAACCCTTTAAACATAATGTTCCTTTGGAGTAATGAGAGGGCTTTACAAAATGTTTTGTGTTAGGCCTAGAAGCTTGCTACATAACCAGCCGGATCCATATTATACGCCTTGAGGCAATGGAGATGCGAAAGACACCACCTTCCGCAAGCAACTTTCTCCTTCAGATATGAACCAGAAACGAAGTCTCAGATGGACTACTGTGAAATCAGCCAACGCTTGATGTTGTTTGTTATGCAGGTTGCTCTCAACCGACAACCAGCAGGTTTTACAATGTTGAGCCGACACTAGGGTCAAATGATCATTGTTCCAGTTCGCGTTTGGGTGACCTTGCCGAGGTTTTTCTTGCGAAGCCTGCGCAGGCAGTCGCGTACGCGACCGTGAGAAGAGTTTAAGTAGTCAAGATTATGCTTTATGCAAAGCGTTGCTGGACAATGTGGGATTGTCTGACGACTTGTGAGTTGTAGTTGTAAGTTTGGCACAGCTAGGTAGAACTGCAATTGGTAGCATGGAGCCGTGGTGGAGGGAGGAGAAGCTCTGCATGTCCAAGTACGCCATTTTTACATTTCTTCGCGTAGGCATTAGACTGACATGCAAGATCCAACCTTTGACATTTGCTCTTCCGCTTCACCCGTTCCTCCTGAGTGGTCGTCATGAAGGCAAAGACCCGATCAGACCATACGCCGAGTGAAGGTCAACATTGTTTCGCTAGGCATTTGAGGCCTTTGGGTGGATCGCATTCCGCGTAGGCTGGACGCAGGGCAAAAAGAATGACAATGCCCACACCACCCAAAAGCATGAACATGTTCCAGCTGTTGAAGCTATGCAAAACTCAGAACCCTCACTTCTCCATCAGGGGGCGGCCTCTACTGGCAAGGGCGTTTCCTCCACATAGGGGCTCCTTTCACTTATTTAGAACTGCCGTTTCCTGGTCACACTAGCCTTAAAAGCGGCCCATTCTCAGGACACACCTTGGAACAGCTCCATAGGCGAAATTAGTTCAACCAGCTACACATTCGCGTTTCCGGGAGACCTGCGTGAACAGTCCGTACATGTCAGTGCGTCTCAGTTCAGTGGTTGCCGGACTTGGGCCACCACGTGAATAAGGTGCTTCCCATGCGATAGTGCTGCATGGAAAGCACAAGACTTAACAACAACACACAAGGAGCAAGCAACAGATGGGCCATCCCAAAGCAACGAGGCTTTCTACAAAGGGCGCTATGAGATGTAGCAACCTTGCCTTCCGAAAGTGGGGAAGTCCAACTTGTCTTGTGGCTCATCCAGGAAGCTCATCGCCAGCGCCACGGGCGCCAAGCTCCGACTCCGCGGCCGCGGCTCGGGATTCAAGGCCGGGCCCCGCAGAGGGACAGCCGAGTCGAGTGCCCCAAGATCCGAGCGCGTCTTTTTGCTAACCGCCGCCCATAACTCAAGCATACTGAAGGTATCTTTCTTAGTGGTCTCTCAACTCAGCCCAGCTACACTCTGCCATGTTCTTCACCCAGATAGCTCAACCAAACAACCAGGAACCGGAGCAAGCGTGGGTGCGAGGCGGTGTGGAGGAGAATACCTTTATTCCTGCTCTTCCCCCGTCCGCGACAACATTCGGCCCAACAACCTTCAACCAATGGTGACATGAAGTTTGGCCCAATCCTCAGTGAACATTCCGGGAAAAGAGTTCATCTTAGTCTCTGTGTGCAACAGTTTTCCCTCCCTTGGCATGACAGGGAACCAAGTCTTACTTGTGCTTGACCCTTGAATCGGCATGTTCAGACATGCTACGCAAGTTTGCCAAGCAAGCCAGTCATCTAGCAGGACTGCGTGCTTCTCGGTTGCTGCAAACAAGCACCAGTTGCGCGGTTGCACGGTTAGACTGCGAGAATTCAGTGGTTGAAGATTGGCTTGGTTTGGCTTAATTAGTATTCTTGAGGAGTCCTGGGGCAAATGGCTAAGGCTACAGAAACCAAGGCCTTGAACTCTGCACCTTTGGCCGACCACTCCACGCCAACCGGGTGCAAGCTTTGCCAACGCCTAGGAGGGCCCTCGCAGAGTGGAATCGCGGGATCCGCTCATGCTGTGCATCAGCTCCACAGATGAGGAAAAGCATCAAGAAGCTGCGCCTTAGCCAAGAGAAACGCATATCCACCAGCAATACCCAATGACTTTCATTTTTGACTAGATTTCAAAACCCGAGTACAAAGATCCGCTCCAGAATTGAAGATTGGAACACGTTGCGCCAGGATTTGGTTATGACTTATGACTCACTTTGCCCCCATGAAGCACACAACAGCTTTCATCAAAGGCTCCTTCTGATCTCATCGGGTGGAGCCGCCATAGACTTTCGCCCTGCTGTACGCATAGCCTACTTCATGTCGAAGACACTCCCCCGTGTGCACACTGCGAAACTGACAGTTGTCCCGAAACTGACAATTGTTCCGAACTGGGAACTTCAGCCGAAAATTCATTTGCTTAGAAAGCACATTGTTGGAGGGTTTGTGAGCAATTGCGCACTTCAGGGCCCAATGGCTGAAACATGCTGACCCACCTTCAAAGGGAGATGGGGTTCCAAGCCAGATGAGAGGAGGCTGAAGTGTGCCGGACCACACATTGCTATATTCCATGTCGTTGTTGTTTGTGGGAAGTTGGGGCCGGAATCTCCAGAACCTCGCAATAGCGCAGACAGACACCATCGTTTATTGGGTGGCACACGGTGGCACTTTAGCTGGTGATATGTCATACAATCTGCTTGTACGTGAATGAGAGTGTCAACTGGAGTTAGCCAGGAGCCAGTTAGTGTGCTGTTCCAAGGTACGCCTTGTTCGGGAGTTGGTGGAGGATGTGTACGAGCAGTGCCCTGATGGAGCGCGTGTTTGGCATCATGCGACGTCCGGATTCATCCTTTGAATGAGTAATAGGGTATCCCCATTTACGCAGCAAGAGTTGCCAATTCTGAGACCGAACATGCCTCAAACTGGCCCTTTAGCTCGCCGTGTTGAAAACACGAAGAGCAATAAACACGTTTAAATGTGTGCATCAAGTAACATTGGGGACGAATTATCCCAACCACCACCCACCATACCCGGTGTCCCTTGCCTCCCGCACACCAGAACACACGAGGCACCAGTCAGGTACATGTCGGAGACAGCTGGAGCCATACAAGCAAGCAAGGGGTTCGCTACGCGAGCAAGCACGCATGCGCGTGCATACGCATCATCCCGCAGCCAGGCAAAGCCGCACATACACACACACACAATGCGAAACATGCACAGCAGGAAGCAAAGACGCGTAAGAAAACCAGGACAAAACCACACACACACACGACTTGTACGTACACACACACATAGATAGATACCAAGACATGCGTAGACGCAACCACAGAAACGATGTTCACCATCACATTATAATAGAATCGAGCATCAGAGCCGACGCAGGCTTGCGAACGTGATTCCCGGATACTCGTGCAGGTTTTTGCGAGTGTCCCAAGTTCACATTGAGCAATGCGGGTTCTCCACAGCACGATTCTCGTCCGAGAGATTTCCAGCCAGGCATATCAAGCTCAGCTGTGCCATCAGGCCTAAATTTCAGATTCAGATGATTGGCAATAGCCATCGCACTCCACATCACGCGTCAAAGTACAGCCATCATCTCCATTACCTGTTGCAAAGTAGCGTACGTTTCGGTCTATCAACATAATCGAGCTGCAGCAGGCCAACCTGGCCTGGGCCAAACAGGCATGACTTCAGGATCGCAAAACTTTGGAATGTCTTTGCAAGTCTTTGAGACAATGTCTTGCGATTGGTGACTTGGCGTGATCCCGCGTTCCCCTTGCCCTGTGCCTCGCTTTTCCCAACCGAAAGGTACAGCGCCTTTCAGCAGAGCCGCGGTCAAGAAGCTGACTGCCAGGCTGGGGGCTTGCACAGGTCGACCGTGCGGTCTGAAATTTGACTTTGTTGCTCTGAATGAATTATGTGGAGAGATCTTTGTTACTTCAGCAAATATTTTGCGGGTTGAGTCCAGACAGCTCAGAGAAGCGTTCCAGATGAGCACGTGCACGTGCACACACATACACACACACACACAGGCACCCACGTGACAGAACAGGCATCCAACAAAATGAGAGCACTACGTCACCGACTGGGTGATTCTCAGCGTCGACTTCTTTTGTCGCCGAGCCGAGGTGCAGATCCACGAAGGCCCGCGCCCGGGCAGCAGAACCTGATCTTCAGAAGGCGCAACGGGCTTTCCAGTGACTCGTGGAATGTCTTAGGAGCAGTGCTTGTTGGAAGGTGTGTGAAACAGTTGTTTTGCAAGGGGTAGGAAGATCCCACTGTCTGGATTTCATGTTGTCAGGTACATGTTTATAAGTGGGATGCCGAAAGGCTCGCACAGCTACCCAAAGAGATGCACAAGTCACTGACAAAGAGGCACAAGGAAGCATTTGGATTTGGGGCAAAGCCAAATTTGGAGTTGTGCGAGCCTGTTCCGATGGAAGCTGCATTAAGCATCCAATTCTGCATGTGGGGGGCTCAGGACTTCGGACCCCCTGTCTCAGTTTGTTTCTAATTACGGGCAACAAAGCAAACCAATACCAATATTATATATATAAATATTATATGTGGGGTCCCTGTTTCTATGAAGCACCCATGCCGGAGGTGTCACTTCTCACAAGCCCTTCCTGAGCGCCGTCCTCTTTTTAGGTGCATCTCCTGAGACCAAACAGAAATGCCCGCAAGATTGCACAGGGCTCCTTTAAAGATACATGTGCCCGTTTGAAACAACATGGCTTTTTCCACCAAAACAAAGGGAAACCACCATTTATAAAGCAATGTTCAGGTGTATAATGTAAGGATCCCTGTTGCACAAACTTAGAAACTCAGACTTACTAGTTCATGGCTTGCCTTTGGCGGGTACTTTGCCCCTTAGATCTTCCGGATTCCAATTGAACCTGCAAAAGCTTCGATGTGTTGCTCGTTAGGAAGATCCACTCAGATCTCTTTGTCACGCACCACAAGTCGATCACTGAACTGAGATTGATCGAGGCGTTGCAAGCCACAGCTGGTGACATTTCTTGCAGGCCTGACGGCGGTTGGCCTTTGGCTGCGCAGACCACAGATGGATCCAAATGAGATGCTGATTGCCCGGGCCGAATTCCCATCAAGGCTGACATGTATCGACGTGTCAAACGAGCGTGTTGCTGAGTGCGTTCTGTGTATGCAGCCAAGAGAGTTCCGCAGTTTCCGTTGGCCAAAGGATGCCAGCGCTTCACTTTGCGGAATCTTGCTTGCGAATGGAAGAAGAGACAGGACTGCGGCAGCTGGCCGACCCGTTTTTTTTGGGGGGTTTTGCGAACCTCGCCTCAGCGCGACTTCTGATGCGTGTGGTATGCATCCATGCTGATCTTCGATAGCGGATCACTTGCGCCTTTGGCTCAGACCTTCCGCACTCAAACGAAGTGGAGACTCAGATCATGGCGCGCTTGCAGGCATGCCAATGGGCGTGTGCATGCCTGGTAGGTCCCCGTTGGCTTGTGGGCAAACTATCATTTGATTGTTTGGTATTGGAGTTCAGCACATTGTGCGAATCACTTGATGCCTGATCGCAGATTGTTCCGTGGCTTTTGGCGCAAGAAGTATGTCCTCACGTTCAGAGGTTCAAATTGGCATGTGTTCAGGGTCCCCAGCACCCACACCAGCACGGTCCCAACAAACCAAGCCAACAATTAAGTGGCAAAATATTCAATAGTCTTTGTGGGCTGGTTTGTTTTGATGACCTTGTTTTTTTCAGCAACACGGCTCACGAAAAAGACCTTTCAGCATGGGTGTTAAGTCTTCGCATCTTTAGAAATCTTCATGCAGTGGCAGCCAGAAAACTGTGTGTCACTGCTTGCTTACATTGCTTACCATTTACTACGAAGCCGCCAGGAGTTGGCAAGACAACCTTGAATCCCAGCTTGTCACTTCCATGAGCCCCTGGGATACTTTCTACAGAACAACCAGATTCGGCCAACACCTGTTTCAAATAAGAGCATCCAGCCAGCAGTTTCAAGAACCAGAATCTAGTAGGCGGGGTCGTCATGTTACACATGGTGGACAGGTGAAGCCAACCCGACAGACCTTGAGGCAAGGTGTGTATGTGTGTGTGTGTGTGTGCGCGTGCGTGTCAAACCAGGACATGATACATTTGCTGGTTGACATTGGAACCATCAAGCCTTGGGAGATTTGCCAAAGAAGAAAGCAAAGGCGGGGTGGTGGGTGTTACAAGCCCATCGGGGGACAATTCAGACGGGGGACTCAGATCTTGGCGCTGCTGCTGGTCCCGGCATTGGCACTGGTGTCCGAGCACCTCGGCGGAGCCAGCGGACAACTGTAGATCGATTGCAAGTAATTTAGAGGAGGCAACGTAGCAAGAACTGGTTGGGACCTCGGTTCCCTGTTCGGTTCGTGAAGTGAAGGTTGTGTTTTTGACAGCTCCCCGCTTAAATGTCATCACGAGTGAGATTGTACAAAAAGCCTTTGTGACATTACATTGTTTAAGTCATACCGATTCAATGCCACGATTCGACTGAGTAGAAGGAACTCAGCTTGAATAGTTGAAGTTTTCGGCCAAGGAGAGTTAGAGAACCCTGTGCAAAATGGAACATGTGTTTCAGGATCTCTCAGAATTGGCCACGCACCACGTTTACATGATAAACTGCGAGGGTTACTTACCTATGTCCCATATCAGTTGCGGGCAAGATTGCTGTAGACGGCGGCTCATATCCTAACGTTCATTTTTGCTGATCGTCTTAGCATTGAAGTTCAACACCGACGACTCCTGCGCTTGACCCAGATGTCGGGAGCATACATTGGATGAACAAAAATCATCCTATCATATTCAACTTTAAGATCACTTGCAGCAGCCATCCTGGAGCCTAAGATCTCTTGCCGGGGGATTTGTTTTTGGAGGTTTGGTGAACAATGCAACTACTAGTATGTGCAGATGCTGAACTAGAGGTATGAATGACTGGCCGGCCTTTCGATGGAGTTGGATCCGCCGGAGTCCTCTTGTCAAGGAGCCGTGGCGAGCCGACGGACGACTCGACGAAGGCAGGGAGATGTCGCCATTGGTCGTTCACGAGGGAGAACATTTACCACTTTACGAAGCTGGCAATGAGCTTACTTGTTCATGAAGCTGTAAATGAAATTATCCCATGAAGCCTTTGATGAAGTTGCCCATGTATGAAGCTTTGACGCCCTTCTTTCTCAGTTGGATGGTCCTCCCAAACCCTTTCCTTGCTTGCACCTGAGGAAAGTGCACTGAATGTAAATCCGGAATAGAACTTGAACCATTAACCCTCCTTCCCACACTAGCATGGAATTTGTGGGAGGGTGCCTAAAAGACCATTGTCCTTTTGAAGGGGGGGGGGGGTGGGAGGCTAAACTCTACCCTGAACGACAGCATCGACACTGGCTCTCACTCGCCAGCTCTTTTCTCCTCGTGCTTTTGCTCTTCTCTCCTCTTCTCTTGTTGCTGGACTGTACTCTTCCGCGGTCCTTTCCCAATAGAAGTCTGCTTCGACATGTCGACTGATAGCTTGCATTGTGGTTGGAAGGAGAAGGACTGCATGTGCGAGGCAAGGCTGTGTGTTAGACTTCTTCCAGAAAGAAAAAGGAGCAACAAGGGCCCTGTACACACAATTTGCATGTTTTCCCAAATTCGAGTTGCAGATTCAAGATTCCGGGCACTTGTGCGATTCGGCGCCTCATTGATGAGTTCATCAGCTCATAGAGCTGGAAATGGCTTCCACTGGTCCTGCAACCAGCAATGGGTTGTGTACCCGTTCAAATGCCGGTAATGGTTTTTTATTTGTTCATGAAATTGTGTGATGGCAATCAGCTATCCATTTCTGACGCTGTCAGTGAATGCACATGTTCGTGACGCTGGCAACGAGTCTACCCATTGTTGCTGTTGCTGAGTTTACCCAGTGAGGGCGTTGTGAATGAATTCACAGGTTCGTGACACAGATTGAGCTATCGCATTCTTGTTGGCAATAGTTTTATTTGTTTATGAATCTGTCAATGAATCCACACGTCCGCAACGCCAGTAGGGATAGTACCCCCATTTTTGATAGCGGCAATGAGTTTACCCTTGCTGTCCTTCAATAAATACGTTTGTGATGCTGTCAATGAGTTCACACGTTCGTGACGCCTGTAGTTATTAGTTTACCCACAAATGGTGTTGGCAATGGCTCACCTGCTTATGAAGTTGTCAATGAACCCGCACGTTCGTGACGCTGGTACTGAGTGTAGGTGCTCTTAATGGTGGTAGTGAGTTTTTCCAGTAAAGACATTGTCAATGAGTTGGCTGGTTCATGATGTTGTACGTGCATAAAAGGCTTAAGCTTGGGGAAGCATTCCTTTGCCCAATTGCCATGGTCAAAAGACTGCTGATTATTTGGTGTTCCGGATGGCCAATCTCTTCAGCAGGGGATTTAGATGCAGGGAAGGGGATCCAATGAGAGCGGCTAGTGAGGAGCCCTCAATGTTTTGGAGGGAAGCCCAGAGATCTCCCTCCTTGCACTCCACTCCCTGAGATTCCATTCGGCTACGCCCATGGCTGAGATTTCAATGGCTAAGTGCAGATATTGCTGAGCCGGTCGGATCGGGCAGGTTGCCGACTTGATCTTGTGAGTTGAAAGCGATGGTGACGGGCTTTGTTTTCTGTCCTTTTGCCACGTCATGTTGCATCAGAAGGTCCATCTCCTTTTGTGCTGTGTCACATCATTTATCTTGCCTGAGGGTTCCAACTCCCCTCATCACATCCGAGCCCCAAACCCTAAAGGAGGTGAAAAGGCACTGAGGCTCGGGCGTGGGCCTTATTCGAGACTCTGAGAGGGGGTTGGGACAGTTCCCTGCGTTCTGCATGTTGAGCCCGGCAAAATGGGGAAACTCACGTGAAAGCAAATCAATTTGAACGCACCACATGCCCAACAGCAATAAATAGGTGTCAAAAGGAGCGAATGAACCGATCAATCCATCCCCAGGTGAGGGCCAACAAGATCGCGCCCTTCGGCCGGGACCGGCAAGCCTAGCCTTGGGCTGGGGATTGGCGGAAGGCAAACAGCTGGTCACAGTGTGGGGTCCTGGTGTTTGGCTTCTCCACTTGCGTTGTGTGTTTGTTTCTTGGGTTGTTTCGTTCAGTTTGTTCTTGTTTGTGTAGGTTTCAGGCTGCCTTGTGGGCCATCGTGAGCCTATTGCTATGTCTTGCTTGTGCCTGTAGGAATTGAGCTTGGGCTAAGGGCTTAGGGTTTGGGCAGCACGGTTTTTGTGGTTGGAGAGAAGCGGGAGAGAGAGGTTTGGAATGGGTTGCACGGAAAGAGGATTTGTTGTTGCTTTGAATTGCAGTGTTGAAGGGGGTTGAAAGGTAGAATGTGCCCAAACCTCATTGAATAGTACCTCAACTACTCGAAGGTGCCCCCGAAAAGCAACAGGGACATGTGTGATTTTTCGAGCATACCCGTGGCTAAATACTAAGCGAGTTCACCCCCATGATGAAGGGCCTTCACTACGGCATCATGTTTGTACAATTGGCAAATTACCGCAAGGGGGGGGGGTATGACTCTATGACTATGTTGTTTCAAATTCCAGCCGGGCTGTTTAGGATCAGTTGATACACATCGAGGGCTGTGTTCAGGGGTTGCTGTTTGACCTCTTTTGACCTCTTGGTTGGCAGTCCATAAGTAACCTCATGGTCTTTTGCCAAAATAGCCCTGGGCATAATACAATTAGAATACTGATGCGGGTGATGTTTGTCCAATGACCCAAATTGGGCGCACAACATAATATAGAGCTTGTGACGGGGCATGACTCTCCTTCTAAGAACCAATCCAGTAGCAACCAACAACGTGCTGGCCCTCCCTACCAGAATTGCCATTATGCCTGACTTCCTGGGCTCTTTCGCTTGCAGTCTCGCTAGGAGAACACTGCTGGCGAGCTTCAGGATCAGGCTGCCAAAACGCAGGACCGCCGTGTTGGACGTGAAGATGTTGGTTAAATTGTATGTTCCGGGGGCGACCAGCAGAGCTATCGAGAAAGAGTCCATGATGGCTCATGGCCAAGGCAGTGCTTCGTTTGCAAGGGACAAGCAGCTTGGCTACGGCCGATGCGTAGCGGGGCAGCTGATTGGAAGGCACGACCTAGATGACTTCGGACGCCGTCCTAGACACAAACGCATTCTAGTTAAAACGCAATCTAGCAACTGTGTGGTAGCTTGCCAGCTGGGTCGGTCTAACGTTGATTGGTGAGTGTTTGGATGATGCAAGTGTTGCTTGATAGCCAGCGACAATTGGCTGGCAAGAAGCGTTGCTTTTGGTGAGGCATGTGCACGTGGACAACTTCAGAGTGGAATCCAGTGGAGGTGTAAGAGTGGACCTCCCGAAGAATCTTTGGACCATGGGACAAATGCTTCGCCGCAGCGAGGACACCTTGGTGGACGCCGTGGAAAACGCGGAGGCCAAGACTGTCATGCGACCAGCTGAAGGTTGTTCAGAATGGGGATGCCTTTGCTGGACCCTTTCGGACCCACTGAAAATGGAACAAATACTGAGCAGGGTACAACATTGGGGCAGTTTCTTTGTGGTTTCAGGGTGAGTCGAAGCAGCAAAATAGTGGCAGCTGAATGCTTGACTAGCCTTATTGCGCTGAAGCTCGGCTGTTCGGGACTTCCATGCTGATTCTTGGATTTGCGCTGAAATCAACGTCAAGTTTCGCAGCGCGAGATTGTGTTCCTCTCAGTCAGTTCTGGGTCGATGTCCCAGACTCTCTGAAGGGAACACCATGGCGCAACCTCGCACTTCGGGGCCCCGTGGATTTAGATGAGTGAAGTTTCAAGGGTCGAGCCATGTCGAGCCGATGCTACCTAAACTCGACTATCAGAAATGCTGATAGAAAGCTCAAAGATTTTGGTCTCTGGGACCTGCGGCCTTGAGGTCATGACAAGGGGTCAAAGACAGGACATGGCAATGTGTGGAAAGCAAAGAAGGCTTCGCAAGCAGAAGGGCTAGGGGAAGAAAACATGTCGATCACGATACACTGGGAATACCCAATGTTGTGCAAGTATGAAAAGAACGGCATCATTAAAATGCAAAGACATGTCTCTAAGACTTTGTACTACCAGTGCTCAACTTGAATCGGCGTGCGCGAAACAGGCCTACCAAACAAGAGGGTTCTTGCGCCGATAACAGGGTCGCTGCTACACCACCGAACGGCATTGAGCTTTGAGTTCCTTGGCCGAAAGTCACACGGGGTCACGGGGTGCCCTTGTTTTACTCACTTACCCTTGTTTTACCCTTGTTTTATTGATTTGATACGGTTTGATTGGTGAGCAACGGGACATGTTCGGGCGCTGTCACACTCAGGAAGCGAGTATATAATTACCTCCCCCTCCCTAGATAAAAATAGGATCATTCGGATCCGCGTGTTTGCCGACTGAGCCGCGCGAATGTCCACAGTGGTCGATATCTGAAGGGAAGTAGCATTGTGTGGTTGGGAATAGTTTCTTTCGGGGTGATGTATGATGTTCAAGATGATGAAATCTCGTTTTGAATTCAGATGATGAAAGCTGGCTGAGTGTCGAGACGAAGAACCCTTTTGAGCATGCTTTGAAAAGAGAACTAGCATTTGGACGTTTCCAGCGCTTCGTTTTGAAAAATGAAACCAGTTCACCTAGGGGTTGCCTTCAGGATACCCGCATAATTATAATGCTAAATACAAAGTTATTCGTATTAGTTAGCACGTCCGAGTCCAAAGTCAGACCTCCATGTTATTTTCTGCTGGCTCCGAGGGCCTACTTGCTTTCAACTCGTCGACTCACTCGCGGCTCGCTCTCTCGCTCGACGCTCGTGTGCGATAGGTGGCGGAGGTGAAGCGCGCGGTGTTCCGTGCCCTGACACGGCTCCGGGCTGCCACCATCAAGGAGACTTCTGCCAAATTCTACGCAAAATAAAGACGCCATAAGACGCCATACCGGCGTTGTGAAGGCACCCCAACTCCTGAGAAGGAACTCTACAGCCCTGAGGCACCCTTGCATACATGCCCATAAAAGAGCCTTCTCAACGCACTTGGCATTTCGGTTGAACATTCCCTTGACGGCACACCGGATCAATTCAATTCTTCTTCCCAGGACATTTGTTTTGAACACATGAGGCTCAATACATAGCTTACCAGACATGTGCTTAAATCGACCATGGACACTTCAGGAGTTCGACACCATTGCGCGTCTGGAAACACAGTCCATTGATGCCTACAACGATGCCCACACCTATCGCCCACAGCTGAGATTCAGCAAAATCAGGGATACTGACCAGTGCGTGCAAGTGTGCGGGGAAGGAAGGCAAACTCTAAAGTTTCAAGATGATCAGCCTTGCTTGCGGATTTCAAATTCAGAAGGAAAGTGTGGCCAAGCATATCCTCCAAACAGTATCCCAACGACTGCGAAAGGTCATTGGCTGCCCGTGGGATGCTCTGGGGGGCCAAGGGGCCTATTCCATACTGGGGACCTCGTTTGAACCTCCCGGCGGGATTCCCATAAAGGTGTGGAGAGCCTAGGGCACCCCGCTTGGAAAGAAAGCCGAGGCCGGGAGAACCCCCTTGTGCACTTGCACGACGAAGAGGCGCCGGTGCAGACGGACAAACTCAAGCCAGGGCCCGAGGAGTTTGGACCATGTCAGGCACACAACCTGCCAGGTTCCAAGAAAGGGTGCAGCCCACGAATTGTTGAACTTAAAACCAGGGAATCGGGGGAATGTAAGGATCTAATTCTAAGGATCCCTCATTTCACTCCCCATAGTTGTCCCTTGCACGAGAGGGGAGCCCTTGGAATGACGCTGCTTGTTCTGGACGAGCCAGCGTTTGTGAGGTTGCGACATTTACAGGATCATCAGAGCTACGTAATCGTGCCCTTTGAAAGGACTGGTATTAGGTCGGGCAAGTTACTTTCCAGCCAACAAGGCTTGCGAGTCTTTAGTGGTTTCCTTTGGACGACTGTGCGTTCTGCTTCACCACTGCCTTTGGCAATTGGCAATTTGGGCTGCAGCTCTGTGTACATCCCTCAATGCATCTGCCTTTTTGCGCGCGATTCCATTTTTGAAAGGGCGATGTGTATCATCCCCAAATTGTCTATGTGCCTTGTTGATGAAGATGAGCCATTGTGAACCGGAAGTGTCCTGGGTGTTGCCCTTCTGAAGCGAGACTCGACCGGGAAAAAGGCAGCAGGGTAAGGGTCAGAAGAGTGAAAAAGCAGCCCACCAGAACTTTGTAGAATCCTAGCCCTTTTGCAGAGCGCCTTCTACCTGCGCAGACCCTTTGCTTGTGCCACCCCTTCCTTATCATAGTTAAGCTCTCCGCTGACCCATCGACCGTACTAGTCCGTGGGTAAAAGGGCCGCCCGCTGCGCAGTCCGTGACCCTCGTGGCTTTAATTGAATTTGAGGGCGGCCTTCATTGAGCTTGCCAGTGCACATGGTCGTTTTGTGTGGAAAGCTTTCCCACCTCTCGAGGATTTCACTTGAGGGATTGAAGGCCATTGACCAACATGATGTACTGAAAATCAGTATGCTGCCCCTGCGTGTTTCTTAGCTTCAAGACTGTTTGGGATAACTCAGCCATGGTAGGCGCGGATTGCCGGCAAAAACAGCTACTGAGAGTAGATTGTGACTCATGTGACATCACCTCAGCGAAATCCCAAGACTTGGATGCAGAGGCTTATGCCTAGTGGCTTTGGTCAGAGTGCCTTAGCCAGGCTTCGCATGGGTTCCACCTTCATGTTCCCGGGAGCCTGCAACGGACCATGACTTACTGAGGTCCTTCCACTGAGTAGTCCGCGCCCGTTCCTCACTGAGCAGTGCCCGCATGCCCACCGCGGTGCATCTTGAGGCAAACTTCCAGTTGGTGCACTGGGCTCATGGCTCGTGTGGAAGAGTTTCCTGCAGCGGCGACACGTTGCGAGGCAAAAAGATGGGAGTGATCTTGTGCGAGCACGGATTTTTCGGGGAATCTCTTCCCAACTATTCGAGCTCAAGAAACCGCCATTGCCCATTGTCCATTCCTCCTGAAGATAACCACAATGTGGTGTGGCTGATACATCGTCTAACCACTGTTTCTATCCAGATTCCAGACCTTAATCATTTAGCCACTCCAATCTGAGTGGTCGAAATGCAACATCCAAACATGCACAACCAACCTGCTGCAACCAGGTTCGACAGGAGAATTCCCGGAATTTGCACACACGTGTGCCCACCCTGTTTGGAGTTCCAGTCCAAGGAAGGTCACCAACATGGAAGCTTCCGAGTTGCTTGATTGTAATGCTTTGTTTGACGTATATGCAACTGTGTGCGCTTGGTGAAGCAGCAGGGTCGGAGTTGGAGGCTGCAGTCGGGTCAGCTAGGCAACTGCACAATCCAAAGTCCTTCCCCCTTGCTGAGTAATTACAGCAAGGTCCCTGCATATAATATACATAAACAATGTTCATACATGTACGTGTGTGTGTGCGTACATAAACATGGCGCCCCCTTTCAGGCAGTTTGGCTCTGGCAAGTTCCCCCGCAAACTTGGTGCGGCTGCCGGTGGCCAAAGGCCGAAGTGCGGCTGGGTTGAAGCAGTATCACAAATGGTATGAAGCTTGTCCTATTGCTTCCCCGAAAGGATCGAGCCCCATGGAAGAGAGGCTAGGGCGCCATGTCCGTGGGACAAGTCAAACTCATCCATTTAATCATGGGCGCTCACACATGTTGGGTGTGCGTTTGTCTCTTGAGGGTTTTGTTTGCTTCGAAGGTTCCAGAAACGAAGCTTTGCACGAGCAATTTATGGAATCTGGATACTAAAGACATGTGCGTTTGGGGCTGAACGATGACCTGACCAGACCCAGACTGCCGCTGCAACAAGCTGTACCCAGTTTAATCGGGTGAAGTGAAATGAGAACAACACCTCGGTCGAAAGCAGCATTCGGTTTCAAACTCAGCTCTCTGAGGCTACGATTGTGTCCCTTTTTCGTCTACTTTCAGTCCCTTTCATGACTTGTTTGCCGGGGGCATGTGAACCCAACATGAATCATCCCTTGAGGCCAATGGCAGACGCGCCACCGCTCCCGTCGCACGATGGCTTGATCAACGGAGTGCCCTATAGGATCGAGAGAACCCAGGACCCAGCCGGGTGCCTTTTTCCTTTCTTGTCCCTCAAAACATTCAGCTGGCCTTTGCTGACGACAGAAGTAGTAATGTGAACAGAGGAAGCATTCTTGCTTGGGTGGGGTTGGTGGGAGCCAGCCCAGGAGCAGAGTGGACGATTTGCCCCGAAGGGACACCTATAGAGCCCGAGGCTTGATGAAGATATCGAGGCCACAGTTGTTTCTAGTATTTTTTTGTTGGGTACCCTGATGTGTTGTATGTTTTTCGTGGGTTGTGCTGTTTCTGTAGTGATCATCCTTTTTCATGTTGCTGGTGCTGAATGTGTTTTCAAGAGCTCCACGGTAAAACATTCTTCCTAGACCGTTTCATGCAAGCGTGAGGAGCAAGCAGAGGAGAATCAGCTGCATAGCTGCACAGGTTCAGCCGTGTTCGTCTTTCCAGTTGCAAGCAGGTCAGCAGGTTGGCTCCATAAGAAGGTTGCAACAGGGGAGAAAGGGCGCATCGCAGATCCTAAGTAACGTTGACTCCTGATAGATAAAGCACCGAGTTGTTGTTTAGGGGCTCTCTGAGTGGTGCTGTGTTTCTGCTGGTTCATATTCTGGGGTGCATGAATCGGGGGTCAGCTCTAGTCAGAGGAAGTAGTGATGAAGGAGCGAAACCAAGGTGGGAAAGTAATCTGCATGTATTCTAGATTTAGACGAGCGAGACAAGGCTTGCAAGGCACGTGCAAGCGAAATGCGGAATGGAAACCGTTTTTGCAAAAAACTAGCCATTCGCACTCGCATGCCCGATTCAACCTTGCCAGCCTGTCTCACAAAGTTAATCGCATGACATGAGTGTGTAGGTGCAGGTATGCACAGTGTGAGCGTAAATGTGTATATTGTACATAATATATGACTCTGTGCTTCCGTGTGTTTGTTTGTGTGTGTGTGTGCTGGTGCCGAGGTGGCAAGGTGTCAAAGTACTATTGATTCCCTCACTCTTGCAAGGAGGGAGCAAGGAACATGTTTTTTTGGCATGTTTCATGCTTGATTCACTTCCAGCATACTATTCACACGTCGGCGTCTAGGCGTGCGCACGCAAAGTATACATACAGTAGATGTTTGTATTTGTATTTGTGATTGTGCTTGTATTGGTCTTTGTTACTTATATGCTTGGCCCAGAATCACTACAAGCTCGTGCCCCTGCCCTGAAAGCGCTTTAACAGGCTCCAGTCCAGCTGCTTTTTGTTTCCTTCACGCTGAGGCAAGGCTCCTTCGTCCTTTTCGGGAGGGCACTTGGACCTACCCTGGCTCACCCAGCACCTCGGCATAGCCGATCTCTGAAACCGAGGCCTGGAAAAACCCCTCGTGATAGCGAGGCCCCTTCAAATCATCTGAGCCTTCAAACACCGCCCGCCCACCCACAGTGGAGGAGGTTGATGGAAAGGTCCCAAAGGCAAAGAGAGCTATGTGAGATATGATATTAGGATTTTCCTTCAAAGAGACATATAGTGAGTTGAAGATCAACGCGCTCACATTGGGGTCCCCGATTTTAAGAAGCTTCCCACCTGCAAACTCCGTCTCCAGCTTCAAGTGTACCTCTTGCGGCCCTTTGCCAGGGCTACGTTTCAGTGCTGATGATAAGCATATGTGTCAAAACTCGGAGTTGACCCATCCTTTCAATGAGTTGTTTCAAACCTTCCGTTTCCAAGAGGGCCCCTAGTGATGGAAAGCATATGGCTGGTGTGTATTGCTGGTGAAAGCCCCAGGTTATGCGCTACGGAAAGCATTTTTTTCCGACTGGCTCTGGTTTTCAACCTGCCCTTTCTCCACGTGGCCGCCGATGCAAATGGGGTTGTGCACCTCACGTCTCGTCGCCTGGCTTAGGGCTTCGAGTCTTTTGCCAACTCGCCCTACGTCGATTTGGAGCGGGAGTACCAGCCACACGGCTGCGTTCTGCCCAGGCAAATCCCGGGAACGGCCCATTTGCTAAAGCAATGACACAAAGTTTGCTGTTTCCAAAAGGTCTAAAGGGCGATTGGTCACACCATGAGCTCCGGAACCTTCAGCCGGTTGAATACAAATGACTGGAAGGCTCCGGCTGCCGCTTCGCCAACCAGCAGGAAAAGCCCAAGAAGGCTTTGCGCACGCACTTGCTTGATGTCACGCTTCATTTCCGTTACAAGAATGCATGATTGCTATGCATTGGCCGGCCAATTTTTGAAAGGCAAGCAACATGCTGGTTGATTGGCTTTGTCACCCCAGAGATAGCACGAGAATCGAAAGCTCCAGGTTATCGGATCTTTTGTCCTCGTGGCCATACCCACAGTGCTGCTTGACTTGACATCCTCATCTCCAAACAACCCAAAACAGAGACGCAGTCGCAACAGATGTCTGCACTGGATGCCTTTCCAGCGGGAACACAGAGGAATTCTGAATGTGCAATATCAAGGCTTACAAACCTCCGCACGCAGCAATCCAACATGTGGCCAATGGTTCAGGCGTGCTGACCTTGGTTTTGTATGCTCTCCCGCCGAAAATTACCGCGAACAAAGGTTGCCCTATCTCATGGCCACTGGCTGTCAGTCACTGCGAGAGCCTGACGCCAAGGTATCCCCCAGATTATCGATGTATCCTGCCGCCCTTGGCACTGGTGACAGTTGCTGGCAGCTCGGTGCAAAATGGACATGGGCACCTGGATGCAACTGGACTGTGTCGCAGGCATGCCTTTGAGGGCAGGCGCATGAAGCAGATGGCAGAGGTTTGCAAGGCACATGACAAGTCGTGTGCGCTGCTTTGGGCCATGCAGCGCAGCTGAGCTTGCCTGATCTCTAGCCGGGCTTACTTCCAGCCGGGCTCACCTGGCACTTCTCGATGGAATCCAGCTGGGGTTCCGTGACGATTTGTTTTGGACAGTCCTTCCAAAAACAAGAGGCACAAGCGCGCAGGCGCACCCCGCACCCAGCCATACGCGAGTGTTTGTGTGTGTGTGTGTCGTGCTGCATTAGCGGCGTGTATATACATATAAAGAAAGAGAGAGTTGATTCCTTTGTATTTGTTTGTTGCTTTTTGTTTATTCATTTGTTCATGTATTGAGTTCGTTATTGTTGTTTTGTTTTATTTGTTTGTTTGCTTGTTTGTGAGATTGCTTGCTTGCTTGCTTGCTTGCTTGCTTGCTTGCTTGCTTGCTTGCTTGCTTGCTTGCTTGCTTGCTTGCTTGCTTGCTTGCGTGCTTGCGTGCTTGCTTGCTTGCTTGCTTGCTTGCTTGCTTGCTTGCTTGCTTGCTTGCTTGCTTGCTTGCTTGCTTGCTTGCTTGCTTGCTTGCTTGCTTGTTTACGTGTGTGTGATTGTGTTTGTGTGTGTGTGTTTGCTTTGTTTGTTTGTTTGTTTGTTTGTGTGTTTGTTTGTTTGTTTGTTTGTTTGTTTGTTTGTTTGTTTGTTTGTGTGTTTGTTTGTTTGTTTGTTTGTTTGTTTGTTTGTTTGTTTGTTTGTTTGTTTGTTTGTTTGCGTTTGTTTGTTTGTTTGAATGTTTCTTTGTGCTCGTGTTTGTTTGTTGTTTGGTTGTTTGTTTGTTGGTTGGTTTGTTGGTTTGGCCGTCCGTCTGTCTGTCTGTTTGTTTCTGTTGTTTGTCCCTTGTTTATGTTGTTTGTTTGTTTGTTTGTTTGCTTGCTTGCTTGCTTGCTTGCTTCCTTGCTTGTTGGTTTGTTGGTTGGTTGTTGTTTGTTTGCCTGTTTGCTTCAGAGTCAGCCTGCTAGCCTGCTGTTGGTCTCAAAAAGGATTCCATATCTTAATCCGAAGAACGTGACAGTCGTTCTCACTGAGTGTGGCTAAGAACATTCTCCGAAAGAATGCTGTATGATGGTTATTTTCTCACAGCATCTAAGAGCATCATATCCAACTCTTCCGAACCCGCTTTGTATTTGGGTGTGCCGTCGCGTGAGGCTTGCTCGCACAAAACAATCCGTTTTGATCTAGATTCAAAATGTGCCTAAGAGCAACGGAAATCTGGAAGCTGGCTATCTTCGGTTCTCGAACATTTTCTCATCCATTTAGCTAGTCTGTGTGTGGTTGTTTTATATTGGGGGGGGCCCGAGCAAATGCTTGGTTTGCTGCTTGATTTCCCCTCAAACCATCAGCTCCGAGGCTTTGGCATTTGTTTCATGATGCCCGTGTCCCTCGTGGGTGCATTGGTGGCCTCCCAGATCGGCCTTCTCGCTTGCTGCACAGGCGGGACATCAATTGCTGGCAACGGTATCGCGTTTCGGCCAGTGCCAAGCTTGGTTGCCTCTCAGAACTGCTACCTATGTTCTTCAAAGAGCCTGCTCAAAAGTGCTTATGTTCAGTAGATGCCCCCACAATTCATCATCTTAGTGCGACGTCTCTTTGGTCTGTTGCGCAAGTTAACATTGTCCCCATTCCACCCCGTGCAAAGTGGAGTTTTCATTGATGTGGTAGCGCAGGTCCACCGGGGCAAAAACAAACTGGCGCAGTCACTAATATTGATTGGGCACATTACATCAACCGCCGATTCAGCCTCACCGAGTCTAAATCAAGGGCTATCCCGCCAGGGTTTCTGTTGATTGAGTTGTGGTACATCGTCACGCTTGTCATGTTAAGAATTGCTGCATGAGCACACCACACGCGACTCTCTGCAGTGCAAAGCAAGTTTCACAAGCAGGGATGAGAGCTGGGGATGTCACAGCAAGGTTGTCATGATCAGCTTTCTTGTTCTAGGAAGTTCAATCTCTTCAGTTTGAGGAACGAGCGAGCTTCAAACCGTGCCAAAACTGCATGGTAGCTAAGGATGGCATCGTTTCTGCAACAATGCTCAGTTGTGACAAGCAACCAGAAGGGGTCAAAAAGTACTCCTGGTTGTTGCGGTATTTTTGCAGGCTACGCCCCATTGAATACGCACATAGAACTTGGTTGCAGTCCACATTTTCTGGCTTGCGCATCCTGCGGGTTCCTTCTGCATGTGTGCCTCAGCGGCTTCTCAGTGCCAGGCTGCGCTTTCGCGTGCCTCAACGTTGGCCACTTCTTTCGGGAGCCCAGAAGTCCTCCCCAGCCTTTGTCGCGCACCGAGTTGCGCCACTTGCGCCTTTGTCCGCAAAGCAAGGCCACGCTTTTGCGTTGCGGCGACCCAAGAGAAGTCAACTGAAAACCGATATGCTATCAGGGGTCCATCACCCATTTGAAGCAAACCTCTATTTTCCGCAGAGATGTGCAGCTCTAGCTGGGCTTTGACAGGTTTGAGCTGGAGAGTCAGCAGGTTTCAGCTTATTTTCTTGTGTAGTGTCTACTGCTAATGTGCTGTTGATCTCGTTTTTCGACAATGCTTGATTGCACTTGGGCATCAGCAGTGCGAATGGCAATGGCTGATTAGTAATGGTGTTGCTGCATGTGCTGTTGCTACTTTCAGGATTGGCCGCACCGCGTGCACCTTCTGGACCATAATATTTTTCTTCGCAGGCGGGCATGCTACTGAGTTCGTTCTCGACATCAATGGTTTACTGGTTTGACAACTTAACATGCGTACTATGTCTTACTAGTGGTTACCCGCTTTCCTGGCAGGTGGGGTATTGCAGTCGGGCTGCCCACGGGAGTCGCAATGCAAAAAGTTTGGGAATGCTTGTCATGTCGGTGTGCAGTGGTAGCCTTTCCACCTGAGGTTCTTCTTTGCCATATTAGCATGGTTTCCTGAGCGTTGCCCGACTTCATTTCAGGTTTGACAAAATCATATGTTTTTTGAGGAGTCTCTTCAAAGGAAGCAGTCCCAAAAGAAGGGCCCATATGCTTGACAACCCCGAAATGGTTTTCGTGAGCGGGGGCGTGTTCGTGCTTGTTGCAGCTGTTCAACCGCGGAACAGCAGTCCAAGAGGGCTGGTGTGATGTTGAACCCTTTTCAAAGCGAGTGCAATCCCCAGATTGTCTTTTCACGGTGGTTTCTTCCCAATGGAATCGGAGGAGGGTTGTATCCCCTGAAATTCAGTGTGCGGGTGTATGTCCCCAGTGTCCCTTTTTTGCAGCATCCCATGAGGGTTGCCATTTTGTCAACGGGTCCAGTGAAGCGTCCCAGTGAAGATTACGCAGGTCTCATTCTGCACATGGCCACGGCGGATGGCGATAGCATACTGGAGGGCGAGCTGTTTCTCATGGAATCCTTGGGGGCGGTTGCCGGGGTGCTCAGTCAAATTGCCAGAGTTCGAAGCCGAGTTGCTGAAATTGGGTAAGGACCACCCCTTTCTGGACGCTGGTAACACCGAAACGACTCATGGTTCCCCATGAGCACTCATTTGAGGACATCCAAGCGCTCGAAAAGCATTCTATGGGTGTGGCATCCCAGGATTCTCCGGGTGTCAAGTAACATTTGGCCAGCAAGCTCGCCAGCTTAGAGGCCAAGAAGCGCCAGGTCAAGCCAAAGTCTGATCGGGAGTGTCCGAAATTGCACTCTGTCAATAGTTTGGGCACCGAGGGATGTGTTATGTAAGTACGTATGTATGTATGTATGTATGTATGTATGTATGTATGTATGTATGTATGTATGTATGTATGTATGTATGTATGTATGTATGTATGTATGTATGTATGTATGTATGTATGTATGTATGTATGTATGTATGTATGTATGTATGTATGTATGTATGTATGTATGTATGTATGTATGTATGTATGTATGTATGTATGTATGTATGTATGTATGTATGTATGTATGTATGTATGTATGTATGTATGTATGTATGTATGTATGTATGTATGTATGTATGTATGTATGTATGTATGTATGTAATGTATGTATGTATGTATGTATGTATGTATGTATGTATGTATGTATGTATGTATGTATGTATGTATGTATGTATGTATGTATGTAATGTATGTATGTATGTATGTATGTATGTATGTATGTATGTATGTATGTATGTATGTATGTATGTATGTATGTATGTATGTATGTATGTAATGTATGTATGTATGTATGTATGTATGTATGTATGTATGTATGTATGTATGTATGTATGTATGTATGTATGTATGTATGTATGTATGTATGTATGTATGTATGTATGTATGTATGTATGTATGTATGTATGTATGTATGTATGTATGTATGTATGTATGTATGTATGTATGTATGTATGTATGTGTATGTATGTATGTATGTATGTATGTATGTATGTATGTATGTATGTATGTATGTATGTATGTATGTATGTATGTATGTATGTAATGTATGTATGTATGTATGTATGTATGTATGTATGTATGTATGTATGTATGTATGTATGTATGTATGTATGTATGTATGTATGTATGTATGTATGTATGTATGTATGTATGTATGTATGTATGTATGTATGTATGTATGTATGTATGTATGTATGTATGTATGTATGTATGTATGTATGTATGTATGTATGTATGTATGTATGTATGTATGTATGTATGTATGTATGTATGTATGTATGTATGTATGTATGTATGTATGTATGTATGTATGTATGTATGTATGTATGTATGTATGTATGTATGTATGTATGTATGTATGTATGTATGTATGTATGTATGTATGTATGTATGTATGTATGTATATGTATGTATGTATGTATGTATGTATGTATGTATGTATGTATGTATGTATGTATGTATGTATGTATGTATGTATGTATGTATGTATGTAATGTATGTATGTATGTATGTATGTATGTATGTATGTATGTATGTATGTATGTATGTATGTATGTATGTATGTATGTATGTATGTATGTATGTATGTATGTATGTATGTATGTATGTATGTATGTATGTATGTATGTATGTATGTATGTATGTATGTATGTATGTATGTATGTATGTATGTATGTATGTATGTATGTATGTATGTATGTATGTATGTATGTATGTATGTATGTATGTATGTATGTATGTATGTATGTATGTATGTATGTATGTATGTATGTATGTATGTATGTATGTATGTATGTATGTATGTATGTATGTATGTATGTATGTATGTATGTATGTATGTATGTATGTATGTATGTATGTATGTATGTATGTATGTATGTATGTATGTATGTATGTATGTATGTATGTATGTATGTATGTATGTATGTATGTATGTATGTATGTATGTATGTATGTAATGTATGTATGTATGTATGTATGTATGTATGTATGTATGTATGTATGTATGTATGTATGTATGTATGTATGTATGTATGTATGTATGTATGTATGTATGTATGTATGTATGTATGTATGTATGTATGTATGTATGTATGTATGTATGTATGTATGTATGTATGTATGTATGTATGTATGTATGTATGTATGTATGTATGTATGTATGTATGTATGTATGTATGTATGTATGTATGTATGTATGTATGTATGTATGTATGTATGTATGTATGTATGTATGTATGTATGTATGTATGTATGTAATGTATGTATGTATGTATGTATGTATGTATGTATGTATGTATGTATGTATGTATGTATGTATGTATGT